GGAAGAGGGCATCAGACCCAAGTGTAGACGGTTGGGAGCCACCCAAGTTGCTCAGGACCTCTGGAAGAGCAGTCAGTGTTCTTAACCTCTGAGCCATCTCTCCAGCCCTTACCCTGTTGCTTCTATGCCAAGCTGGGCAGGCCCTTGCTTTCCAAAAGGCCATTGGAGCAACATCTGGGCCTATTCACTTTTGTGAATTGCGGGGAGGGGGACAGGGAAGCGGGAGGTGACAAATACCAGTAACCCCAGTGCTTGGGAGATGTAAGCAGGAAGATCAGGAGTTCAAGACCAATCTACACAGTAAATTTGAGGTCAGCCTGGGGTACACGAGACTCCACCTGAAAAAATAAATAAATAAAGCAAATAAACATTTCTTGGCATGGAGTCAAGCTAGCAGGAAGCAATAGACTCCAATCAAAGTGGGATGGCTATCCTTGACAGTCAACTTGAGGGGACCCAGAATCCTGTGTTTTCAGGAAGGGTCACCAGAGGGGAGATACCCTTTTCTCACCCTGCCATGGGTGCTGCCTTCCTGCAGGTGGGCAGGTGGCCCAGGTCTGGAAAGCTGTCTGCCTGCCTTCCTGCCCCATTCCCTCCCTCCCTCCCTCCCTCCCTCCCTGCCTCCCCTCTCCCTCCCTGCCTCTCCCTCCCTCCCTGCCTCCACTCTCCCTGCCCACCCCCCTGGCTTTTGAGTGCCTCGGTTGCTGATGCAGTCACTGCATCTTCTGCCATCCTCACTGGCATTGGAACTTGTTTTCTTCCCCTTTCACAGGCCAGCAGCTCCCCAGGGATTGTCCATGCACTCAGCACAAGACTGGAACTGCTGAGGCATCCAGCCCCAAGCACGGAGCAGCTCCCAGTTCTCAGCCTCCCGTGTGAGACTGTTGTGATGCCAAGCCCCCACCACATAGGCCACTCTGGTTTTGTTGTTCTTGAGTTTTTTTAGATTTGTTTTATGAGTGTCTGGCTGTATGTATGTATGTATGTATGTATACCATGTGCATGCCTGCTGCCTATGAAGATCAGAAGAAAGCATCAGATCCCCTGGAACTGGAGGTACAGGCAATTGTGAACCACCATGTAGGTGCTGGAAACTGAACTCAGATCTTCTGGAAGAACATCTTCTTGACCACTGAGCCATCTCTACAGCCATGAAACCCCTTTAAACACACACACACACACACACACACACACACACACACGTTCTGCACCTCTAGAGAACCCTGTCTAACTTGTGAGGAAGGAATCAAGGGAAGCCAAGTAAGCTGCATATTCAGGCTTGACAGAGGATGGAGAGATGTAATGATCAAAGATTTCTCTTCATTCTTCATCCTGTCATGCCCCAAAGACATGTGTGGGCTTCTGATAGATGTTAACAGCACAGCCAGAAATAGGACAGAGAACATGTGGAGTGTGGTGGCACATCCCTGCAGTCCCAGCACTCAGGAGGTGTCTCTAGGACATCCTGTTGCACAAAGTTGCAGGTTAGCGTAGGTAACGCATAAAGCAGGAAAAAGTTATTGTATGAACGAGGCCACACAGATGCGTATGGGAAAGAGAAAATAAATACATGTGAAACTGGTAGGCAGCGATAGCGTGCTGTAGAGAAGCTACACCAAGACTAAGATAAGTCTAGCCGGGTGTGGCTCAGTATTAGATCATAAGACCCTGGGTTCCACAGCCAGCAATGGAAAAAAAAAAAAAAACAAGTCCAGGGAATAAATTCAGGAACCCAGAAGCCACACTGTAAGAAGGAAGAGCCTTCAAGCATGGGACATGGAGAGCAGAGGCCCTGAGGTCATCCCAGGCTCCCTAGGAAAGGTGGAGGACAAAGAAGCCAGGAAATGGGAGGACAGTGGGGAAAGAAAGGGCAGGAGAGGAGAGAAAGCAGGTACAGGACCATCTAAAGAGGAACGCCAGCATGGGGCTGACCTCCCAGGCTGAGGTTGCAGGGCGAAATTAGATGGAGAGCCAACAGCGTTGCTCTTCCTGTGATCCTTGCCATAGGGAGGTGGAGGCAGAGGATCAGTAGTTCAAGGCCATTCTCAGCTATGTAGTGAATTTAAATCCAACTCAGGTCATTAAAGTTAAAAATAAAAGACAATTATGAAATGGTACCCCATTTTTCTCTGAAGACAAAGCATAGAAAAAAAAAAGAATAGATATTGAGCCCCAGGGCATAGTGGTACAGCAGAGGCGGGCTGAGGCAGAAGCTCTTGAGCGAGGTGTTCCAGGGCAGCCTAGACTACCCACATAACAATCCTAACCTCAACAAATACAAATCAAAAGTATACAAGGCCAAATAATCATAACGTAGCATGTTGGTTTTTGATTCCAGCATTTGAGAGGCAGACAGATCTCTGTAAATTTGAGGCTAGCCTGGTCTACCTAGCAAGTTCCAGGACAGCAAGGATGGTGACTCCTACCTGTAACCCAGAGGACCAATCTGGAGCACCATGAGAGTTCAAGGTCATCCTCAGCTACACAGGGAGTTTGAGGCTAGCCTGGTCTCCATGGGACCCTGCCTCAAAATACAAAAGTAAAAGCCGGACATTGGTGGTGCATGCATGCCTTTAATCCCAGCACTTGGGAGGCAGAGGCAGGAGGATCTCTGTGAGTTTGAGGCCAGCCTGGTGTGCAGAGCTAGTTCCAGGACTGCCTAAGGCCACACAGAGAAGCCTTGTCTCAAAAACATAAAAACAAAAAAACTTAAGTAAAACCTTAGCTTTTGTATCACTATTCCCCAAACTCCAGAATATCTATAGATTTTATCAGCTTTCCACACCTATCCTTTTAGTGGCCTGGAGTAGCACTGTCTTCACAGCTCTTTCGTCTCCTCAAACTCTTAGGGTTTTTTTGTTTTGTTTTGTTTTTTGGTTTTTTTGATGCGGGCTCTGGATCTGTGGCTGAGGCTGGCCTTGGCGTCATGTCCTCCGGCTTCTGCCTCCCCAGAGCTAAGATCATTTGCTTAATTTAACATATTCGTTTCATGTATCGTATGTGTACGTGTGTACATAACTAGGAGACCAGGTCTACCCTCCCACCATTTTTGTTCCAGGAATTGAATTCGGGTCTTGAGGCTTGGCAACAAGCCCTTTCACACACTGAACCCTCTCGCCGGCCCTGGCTGGGATTTTTCTCATCTGCAGAAGCTGTGGGATTCAGGGAGAAGCAAGCTGGGTGCATGAGGGTAGGGGTGGTGGTGGGCAGGTAGGGAGGGTGTGCTCAGATGTTAGCTCAAAGCTTCATGGCATCACTGGGATGTCAGAATGACCACTCCCTCAGCTTCACCTGCCAGATGACTCCCCAGTTGAAAATGACTTTTCCATGCATTCTGTACTTTATTCTTCAGGTCACTGAGTCCAGACCATGTTCAAAAATGGAGGGAGGCTGGAGAGGGGTTCCACACTGTGGGAGGGGCTGGCTTATGCTCATGGGTTTTTTAATAGTACATATTAAATATTATTAGCATACATATTAATTATACACAATGATGGTTCCATTATGACATTTCTTAACATGTACATAATGTATTTTGATCAGCCACCCCCATCATCTCTTGTCCCTTGCCTCTGACCCTTGCCTCGGCCCAACAAGTCTTCCTTCTTTCGTGTGTGTGTTTACCTCCTTCTACTTCAAATTTTATTTTTTTTCAGTTTTGTGTGTGATATATGTGTGGGCTCACACGTATGCTATGGAAAGACTGTGAAGGTCAGCCAGGCATACAGGTGTTCACCTTTAATCCCAGCAAAGGAAGCAAAGGAAGGCAGATCTTGGTGAGTTCAAGGTCAGCCTGGTCTACATATCCAATTCCAGGACACCTAGAGCTACTTAGTGAGTCATTGTCTCGAAAACAAACAACAAACAAACAAAAAGCAAAACAAACCTGCAGCTGATTCTCTCTTTGCACTGTGATTCGGGTTCCAGGTTGCCAAGCCTCACTGCAGGGGCCTTCCTATCCTCTCTGTTTCTGTATGACTGTTGTCGTTTGAGGTTGGTTTTTTATTTCTTTTTGGTGACAGGGTTTCTCTATGTATCCTTGGCTATCCTGGAGCTTGCTATATAGATCAGGCCAACCTTGAACTCACAGAGATCCACCTGCTTCTGCTGCTCAAGTACTGGGATTAAAGAAGTGAGCCACCACGCAGGCCCAGCCCTATTCTTTGGAATTCTAGAAACAGTTTTGACTCCTCTCCCCTGGAACGTATTTATTTATGAATGAGACAGAGTATCCTGTCTTGAACTTGCTCTGGGTCTGACTTAATCTTGACCTGATCCTCCGTCCTCCGCGGCCTGGGATTACAGGTGTGCCCCTGTTTTATTCCGACCTGATTTTGGGATCCAGGGCTTTGTACGCGGTGCCAAGCATCGCCAGCCTCCCCTCAAACATGCAAACTTTATTTGAAAAAAAAACTTTTATTTGAAAAGACCCGAAGTGTGCAGAAGAGGGTCCCTCTCCGCCTGCCTAAATTCTAGCCCATTTTACAGGTGGTTGTTACCTGGCACATATAGGAGTCAAACCTGGCCCCCCATCCTGCTGTTGGGGGTGGAACCAGAGCCGCTGTGTTGCTAGGCAAGCCCTGGGCCGCTGACCTGCCGTCCCAGCCCCTTCTTTATAGACCTGGAGACCTTAGAGACATCACACCTGGCCTGACTAGGGAGTACGGCTCGATTCTGGGCTGAACCTCTCCCAGCACGGCCGCCAGGGGCTGTGGGCACCCCAAGAGGCAAAGTCAGGTCCTGGGGACCCCTCATCTCCTGGAACTCTGAGCCATGGAGGCAAGGCGCCAGGTAGTGGCTAAGACAGGGTTGGGGCGGGGAAATTGAGGCACCCGCCCTCCGCAAGCCTGGACTCAATAGGCTTGGAGGGGAGCTGTGGGCAAAGGCTGGCTGGCGCCGCCTCTTCACTCGTGCAGTCCGGAGCTGCCCGCGGATCCGCAGCTCGCCGGGTCGGCACTGCTTGGCCTGGACCCACCGGCGAGGTGAGACCGGCCAGGCCGAGCCCTTAACTCTGCCTCCCACGGGGGAGGGTCTCTGCTTTTCAGGTCACCCACTTCCTTCCTGTTCGTCTCAGCTGAGGGGTGCGAGTGAGGAATCCACAGCAAGCCTTGCGCTGGGTGACCTCTGTCGAGCCGCTGACCCTCTCTGAGCCTTTATGCAAAGCGCCGAAGGAGGGATTCGGGAGCAGCACTAGCAGAGCCGGGAGGGTTGGTGGTGAGTGTTGAGGGAACTAAGTCTAAGGAGTATGGGCGATGTGTGAGGCTGAGGAAGGTGAGAAGCTGGCCACGCCTACCACAGTGCTGGGCTCAGCGGTCAAATGCTGGGTATGCAGACAGCTGCTGAGGGTGCTGGGGTCAAAAAGCTGCAGCCACGTGGTGTGTCCCTTCTGGGAGTTCCTCAGGCTGGAATGGGGGTTGGGAAGATCGTGGACAGAACTTCCTGGAAAGGACAATCAGTGTTGTTTCTGGGGACGAGGTGGACATGGAGACAGCCCCACACTTAGATGACTGCAAACTCAGAAATCACATTAGATATAGAGACTCCCGCACAAAACACATACATGCACAGGGGTCTGTCACATGGGTGTCACAGAAGAATCCAGGCCTGAAATTCCAGCACTTGGAAGGCAGAGGCAGTGGCTCTGGAGTTCAAGGTCAGCCTTTGCCACAGTAGGGAGTTTGAGGTTGGCCTGGGATACTTGAGACTCCAAACAAGCAAAAAGAAAAACAATTGGAGTATATGTCACAGACAAGCCACTCAGGTTGCTCGGACCAGAACTCCCATGCCAGAGCAGAGGCACCCACTCAGTCTGGCTCAGATGCACACAGAAAAGGTGAGCTAGTGACAGGCAGGCAGCCAAGCATTTAAGAACGCAGAAGTGAAACAGGTTCAGGCACAGAGCAACCTCGTGAGAGTGTACAGATACTCAGACACTGTGACAGACCTATGGATACCCTCCCAGCACACATACAATCAGATCCTGGCATGCAACCCTGAAGCTGTTCTAGCTTTGAGAGACTTCTCACAACCCAGCCTTTCCTGGATGCCCCCCTCCCATGTCCACTTCTGGGGAAGTCCGGTGCTCACATGACCCAAGGGGAGGGCTACTGGAGAGTCCCTGGAGAAAATGCATCATCTCTCCCACCAATGAACTTCCGCCCCAGGGAATAAAGACTCGGTGATCGCCAGTTCTCCTCCAGGAGCCGAATTGCCTCTTGCAGCCTCACTGAGTAGTCTGAGCTTCCTCCAGGGTGAGTGCCAAGTACCAGAGGAAAGTGGTAGAAGAGGCATCTGGGGCCACCCTCCCCTAGCTCCTTGACTCCTTGGCCAGGGACAATTGCTGTTGCTGTGTCTTTGAAACCGACAGCTGTGGATGGCAAGCTCCAGCTCTTAGTGTCTCTGTGTGTGTGTGTGTGTGTGTGTGTGTGTGTGTGTGTGTGTGTGTGTGTGTGTGTGTTGAGACATGTGTCAGGTACAGCTGGCCTCAGACTTTCTGTTTCCACTTCCCAAGCTTCCTATGTACCCAAGGCTGACCTTGAACTTCTGATTCTGTTGCTCCACCTCCCTGCTTCCTGAGTTTATAGGTGTGCGCCATCATACCAGGCTCAGCTGCCTTGTTCTCAGGGGCTTGTGCTCCATCCTTAGCCAGGGACACCAGACTCAATTCTCTCACAGATGGATGCACGGACGGTGCTGCTGGGCCTGCAAATCATGTCACTCCCGCTCCTGGCTCATTGTACAGCCGCTACCCCCTCCCTGAGGTTTGTGGCTGTCGGTGACTGGGGAGGGGTCCCCAATGCCCCATTCCATACTGCCCGGGAAATGGCCAATGCTAAAGAGATCGCCAGAACTGTGCAGATTATGGGTGCTGACTTCATCATGTCCCTGGGAGACAACTTCTACTTCACTGGAGTGCACGATGCCAACGACAAGAGATTCCAGGTATGTGCTCAACAACAGGGTTAGAGGTGATGATGGGGAGGTCACTCCAACCTGGGACCCTCCTCTGGAGAGAGCAGAGGGAAGCAGAAGGGCTCCTATGGGGAGGTACCTGGGATATCCCTGGTTCCTTTGTTCTTGGTCTCTGATTTGATAGGAACAGCAGGGTGGCTCTTGACCCCAGGGGTGGGGTACCCTTTTTGTCTGTCACAGGAAACCTTTGAGGATGTGTTCTCTGACCGTGCCCTCCGCAACATTCCCTGGTATGTGCTGGCTGGAAACCATGACCACCTCGGCAATGTCTCAGCACAAATTGCCTACTCCAAGATCTCCAAGCGCTGGTAAGCCTTCCCAAGGAGACTCTCAATCAGGGACAAAGATACCCTTTGGCTTTTGGGAGACTGTTTGCTTTTGCTTTTTATTGTATTGTCTTTATTGGGGGTCACAGCACATGTGTGCAGACCCAGAGGACAACTTGTGGGAATCAGTTCCCTCGCCCCACTGTGTGGCTTCCAGGGCTGGAGTTCAGGTCATCAGGTGGTTTCCTCACTGAACCATGGCACTGCCCTCAGAACCTCTGATTTGTTTTGTTGAACTAGGGTCTCCTGTAGCCCATGCTGGCCTTGGATCTCCTATGTAGCCAAGGATGATCCTGAACTTCTGATCCTGCTGTCTCCATCTCCCCCAACGGATAGGATTTCAGGCATACACCACCATACTCAGCTGTTTGTTTTTTGAGATGGGATCTTGCTATCTACTCTAGGCTGATCTCAAAAATTAAGATTCTCTTGCCTCAGCCTCCAAAGTATTGAGATGACAGATATGCCACTGTGCCTAGCCAAATAAACCTTTGTGGGCTGAGGAGAATGCTCAGTCAGGGAAGCACTTGCTAAGCAAATACAAGGACCTGAGTTTAATCCACGGAATCTATGTTAAAAGCTGAGTGTGGGGGCATGAGCCTGTAATCCTAGTCTGCAATATGTGTATGTGAGGGGGATGGACACAAAAGGATCCTGGGGCTGGATGGCTAGCCAGCCTGGCTGAATCTGTGAGCCCACAACTTAGTGAGATGCCCTATCTCAAAAAGCAAGGTGGGTAAAAGGCATTTGCCTTGTAAACCCAAGGACATGACTTCAATCCTGGGAGCCCATAGTGAAAAAGAACAGATCACCAAAAGTTGTTCACACAAACACACAATAAAAAATGGAATCAAACACAGTGAAGATGGAGAGATAGATCAACAGCTAAGAGCACTTGCTGCTCCAACACAAGGACCAGGGTTCAGATCCCAGTAGCCACATGAAAAGCCAGGCACAAGCTCTTTCATGCATGCAACTGCAGCAGTGAGTGGGAGAGGAGACAGGAGGGTCAGTGGGGCTTGCTGGCTTCCAGGCCAGGCAGAAAAAAGTGAACTCCAGGGTCGACGAGAGACCTTGCCTCAAAAGAACAAGGTGGAGAGTGATGGAGGACATCAGCTCCTTGCTGTGGCCTCCATAAATGCATTTGCAGCCCCCACACTCACAGAAATACACCAAAAAACTCAAGATGCATGGCTCTTGGGGAACAACACCTAATGTGCAAACATGAATATATGTGATCACACACATTTAAAAACTTTAAAAAGAGGTCCTTTGCCTCAGTGTTCACGCCTCAGCAGCCGTCCCAAGGAGTCTTTCTCTGACCTCCATGGCCACTGCACACGTTACATAGATGCACATTAAAGCATGTAAAATTCAGACAAGCATTCAAGCATATAAAATAAAAAAATAAAATCTAAAAAGAAATGTTTTTAAGATTTAAAAAAAAAATAAAACCAGGAAGTCCTTTGGCCAGAACTAATATTAGTCTGTCCCTGCATAAAATGTTTACCTACAATTTCTGTTCCCTCCACAGGAATTTTCCAAGCCCTTACTATCGTTTGCACTTCAAAATTCCACGAACAAACGTAACTGTGGCCATCTTCATGCTGGACACAGTGATGCTGTGTGGCAACTCTGATGACTTCGTCAGTCAGCAGCCCAAAATGCCCCGAGACCTGGGAGTGGCCCGAAGTCAGTTGTCCTGGCTCAAAAAGCAGTTGGCAGCAGCCAAGGAAGACTACATTTTGGTGGCTGGCCACTACCCCATCTGGTCCATTGCTGAACATGGACCCACCCGCTGCCTGGTCAAGCACTTACGGCCACTGTTGACCACATATGGGGTCACTGCCTACCTTTGTGGACATGACCACAACTTGCAGGTGAGGGCTCTGTGAACAGGATGGGGAATCTGCCAAGGAGTTCTTACTATACACTAAGGTGTCACATAGCTGGACTCCTGCTGGGCAGAGGGTCTCCAGTATCTTTCTGAACATCAATACCCTCCCTCAAATTATGTCAAGGTGGCATGGCTCAAAAGCATAGTGCTGGACTAGAGTTCCCCCAGTGAGGAGCTAGGGTTATTGCTTAGGGGCAGAGCCCCTGCCTCGAATCCCCCAGTGAGGGGCTGGGATGTGGCTCAGTGGTAGTGTGCTTGCCTACAAAGCAGGAAGCCATGGGTTCCATTCTCCACATTGAAGAAAAAAACCTCCCTAAATGCCAAAGTAACTCCCAGTTGTGCCTGTGAAGTAGGATGATGCACTCCTGCAGATGGAACAAAGAGAGGCTATCCACCTCTTGCTCAAGGTAGCTCTGTGGTCAGGGATATGCCTATTCCCACACTTAAGGTAGTCTAGGTGAAGCCCCTGGTCATCCCCTAGCCAGGGCTAGAGTGACCAACCTTGCATCCTCTGCCCTCAGTATCTTCAGGATGAGAACGGAGTGGGCTATGTGCTGAGTGGGGCCGGCAACTTCATGGACCCCTCTGTGCGACACCAACGCAAGGTCCCCAACAGTTACCTGCGCTTTCACTATGGATCCGAGGACTCCCTGGGTGGCTTCACATATGTGGAGATAAGCCCTAAAGAAATGACCATCACCTATGTGGAAGCTGCTGGGAAATCACTCTTTAAGACCAGCCTTCCCAGACGACCCAGACTCTGAACACCTTCTACTTGTCCCCTAATGGCTCTGAGGCAGGAAGCTTCTGCATGCATGGTGGGTGGGCACTATGAGGACCTCAGCCATGGGCAGCTTTTTTTCTAGCCCCTGGTGCTCTGACAGAGTGGGAAGGGAGACCAGAGAGGCTTACATACATGAAAGAAGTATGTGCACACCGATTCATCGCACCCCACAGCCAGGTTCACCCCTGAGGTTTTGGGGCACAGCTTTCTTGGAGCAAGGCTTTCTTCTAAGTCAAGCATTTTATTGTCACTGCTGTTCAATAAAAGAATGGTTGTCAAGGCTGCACTTGTCTCCGAAATGGCTGTGTCATCAGAGTTACAGTGCAAGTCAGCGAATGCAGCCGAGGTATGCATGTGGCAGTTAAAGGATAGAGTATGGGAGTCTGTTCCCTCCTTCCACTGTGTGGGTTCCAGGGAGCAAACACAGGCTCCAATGGCACGCACCTTTACCCACTAAGCCATCTCTCTGGCCCTCCCTTCCATCTCTTAGTTCTATGCATAACCAACTAAATTTATACCCGGGCATTAACCCTCCTACCTGCAGCTGTGGGACTGAGAAATCCGGGTACTATGATACTGTGGGATCCAGGGCTTCCTACATGCTATAGAATGGCCCTAACCACTGGCTACATTCTTCACCCTTGTTTCTTTGAAGCCAGGTCTCATACAGCACAGGCTGGCCTTGAACTCCAGGTGCTCCTGTCTCTGTCCCCACAGTGCTGGGATTATAGGCATCTACCATCATGCCTGGTTGCACATGTGATTTTAAGCATCAAGATATGAAGGCTGATCTAGTGGTTCCAGATACATGGGAGAGTGAGACAGGAGGATCCCTTGAGTCTAGAACTTCCATGCCAGCCTGGCAGCATAATAAGGCCCTGCTGAAAAGGAACAGCCACCTTGCTAATTCTAGCAGTCAGGAGTCAGAGACAGACTGATCTCCATGAGTTCTGGGCCACCCTGCTCTACATAGCAAGTTCCAGGGCAGCCTTTGCTACATGGTGAGACCCTGTCTCAAAAAAAATAAATGAATGTTACAGAGAAACCCTGTTCAAAAATAATAATAATAATAATAATAATGTATCAATCAATCAACCAACCAGTTATTCCACCAGAAAGAAGTAAGGACACAGCAAGTCCCCAAGTTCCTGTCTATAACCACCCCTTCTTCAAACCAATACCCTCGACACCTTGAGCCAACCACTATCCTCACTTTCCTGTTTGTGATAAGGTCTCATAGCTCAGGCTGGGCTCAGGCCTGCTATGTAGCAGAAATGAGCCTGCCCTCTGGATCCTCCTGTGTTGGGATCCAGCACTCCACCAAATTACATCTAGTCTAATTTTTAACTTTCTGTTTGTCTGTTGTGAGGTAGGGTTTGTCTGTATAGCACTGGCTGTCCTGGAACTTGCTCTGTAGACCAGGCTGGCCTCGAATTCAGAGATCCACCTGCCTCTGCCTCCCAGGTCCTAGGAATAAATTCATGCACCACCACTGCCTGACTTTTTATTTTGTTTTTATTGTTGTTAAATTTTATTTATTTGTGTGTGTGTGTGTGTGCCACATACTTGCAGGTGTCTACAAAGGCCAGAAGAGGGTGTTGTGTCCCCTGGGACTGGGATTATGAGCAGTTAGGAATGGAACCCGGGTCCTTTGCAAGTGCTCGTAAACACTGAGCCAGAGCTCCAGTCCTGGCCCCTTTTCTGAGAAAGGAAAAAAATTAGTCCAGGCTGACCTGGAGCTCAATAAGTAGCCCGAGATGAGCTTGAACCCCTGACTGCCCTACCTCTACCTCACAACAGGGTGTGTACCACCTAAGGCTCCAAGTTTTAGGGGCTTTTGAGAACTGAAGGCTCTGAGTATAGACTGTTTTACAGAGTTCTGTGCTTGTTTCCCCTCGCTGTTGAGGATGGAATCCAGGCTTTGGAACACAGAAAGACATCCCAAACTGCTGTTTTCCCTCTACTCCAAGTCCTTTTACTTAACCACAGCTCTTCATCAGTTTGTCTCACAGCATTAACTTTTAACCATTTCAATATGGAGCTGGGAATATTCACACATTCAAAAATCTAAAGTTTACAGAAAAGCACAGCACCATTTGGTGGTGTGCAGTTATAATCCCAGCATACAGGAGGTCGAGGCTCAAGGTCAGAAGTTCAAGGCCATCCTCTGATACTTAATAAATTTGAGGCCAGCCTGGGCTACAGGAGACCCTGTCTTAGATTAGATATATGAGCCAGAAGTGGTGGTACACACTTGTAATCCCAGCCCTTGGAAGGTACAGGCAGGTGGATCTGTGAGTGTACGGGCAGTTTGGTCTATATAGCAAGCTCCAGAACAGCCAAGACAACATAGAAAGCCTCTGCCTCAAATACAGCAAAAAATAAAATAGGAAAGATATATAACTGGGGATAGAGAGCATTTGTTTAGTATACACAAAGCCCTAGATCTCATCGACGGAACTACATAAAACCTGTGGGTGTGGGTGTGTGGGTGTGCATGCATGTCTGTTGTCCTAGGGGGGAAACTGTCCAGCTAGGTGAAAGTGCCTTCTACTGAGCTGGGGAGGTGGCTCGATGGCTAAGAGCACTGGCTGCTCTTTAGAGAACCCAGGTTCAATTCCCGGCATCATATGGCAGCTCACAAGTGCTTATAACTCTGGTACCAGGGAGTCAACACTCTTCTATAGCCTCCACAGGTACCAGACATGCATGCGATACACACAAATATATATAGATAAAACATCCTTATGCATAAAATAAACAAGAATCCATAAAACTGATTGTCATATAGCCTAGTAACCTGAGTTCAATCCCCAAGGCCCACAAGGCCCACAAGGAAAGAACTAGCTGGGCAGTGGTGGCGCACACCTTTAATCCCAGCACTCAGGAGGCAGATGCAGACAGATCTCTGTGAGTTCTGAAAGAACTGACCACTGTAAATTATTCTTGAACCTCCACACTCACAGTGACACACATGCCGCTCTACCCCCCCAAAAAAAGTATAATATATAAATTTTAAAGCAAACACTAAAATAAAGTAGAAACTTAACAGAAAGTTAAAAAATGTACTGCGTTCCCTTCTCCAAGCCCGCCCTTTCCTTCCCTTTAGCCTGACAGGAAGCTGTTTCCCTTCCTGTTCATTTCATACCCTTTCTCTCCCTCCCTCCTCTCTCTCTCTCATTCTTTCCTTCTTTCCTCGTCCTACCCTCCATAAAAAGAGTGTCTCACTATCTGCTGTGAAGCCCAGCTAGGCATCCAATTCCATAGCCTGTCCCAGACTCTCAAGCTTTTGTTAGAAGTGTGTGTCATTGTACCCAGTTCCTTTCATATATTTCCTTATGAAAACCAAAGCAACCTGGAATATGTTTTTCTCTTACCCACTGAATCTCACCTTATGTTTTTAACCTTCCTTCTCTTCAAAACCAATTAAAGTGTAAGTCACACTCTTAATCCAAACTCATAAGATGTACAGTTTTACAAGAGGGGTGTGTGTGTGTGTGTGTGTGTGTGTGTGTGTGTGTGTGTGTTGGGAATCAAGCCAGGCCTTTGAGAACACTAAGTACCCATCCTGTCCTTAGCCACACCCCTAGCCAGCTGGTCTAAGTGTTGTTTTTTTTAATACCTTTATTTGCATTGTGGTTCTTGGTGCATTTATAGTCTGTCACCCTTCAAGTTTTTGCTGCTTCCCAAGAGTTCAGCTCATAGGCCTCTGTCAACCACACCTAGTTTAAGAGATACTGGGGATCACATGGGACCCAGGACTTTATGCAAGTTCTTTACCAACTGATCTACACCAACCCTGCTGATAAGTTTTGGCAAAGTCATAACCCCACCATATGTAACATTGCAGGGAGGTATGGATCAGCAGTATAAGCCCTGCCTAGAGTCCCCCAGTGAGGGACTGGGGTATGTGGAGGTGTGGCTCAGTGGTAGAGCCCTTGCCTAGCATCTGTGGGTTTCTGAGTTCCATCCCCAATACCACACACACACACACACATACACACACACACACACACACACACACACACAAGAGCCCAACATTTTCATCAGCCAAAAAGGTCCCTTTGACAAGTTTACCCTTTTTATATCTGGAGATCTGCCCCAGCAGCTGATGGGAGAGCTCTAGAGATCTTTCTTTGAATATGGAGACCAGCACCCAACCCTGAACTTCTAACTCCCCACCTATCAAGGATCTCCTGGGTGGCTTGCAACTCATTTTGCAATCTGCAGACAGGACTGCAGCGGCTGCCCTTGTGTGTTCACAGCCTCTGTGTTCAGACTTGTTTCTGGATAAACTGGATTTGCTCCCGGGAGCACCACTGTCATTTTAAATTCTCTTTGATGGCACCAGGAATAGACTCCAAAGCCTCACGTATGCAGTCAAGAGCTCTGTCCAAGAACCACTCTCCTGGCTGCACCTGGAATCAATAATACAGAGCCTGGCCTGGTGATATACACCTTTAATGCTAGCACTCAAGAGACAGAGGCAGATGGAGTGAGTTTTCAGAGCTACAGTGAGCCCATGTCTCAAGACTAAAGAAAGAAAAGAGGTATAGACACAGCTGGAGGGAAGAGAATGCACAGGAAAGCTGGTCTGCCAGCTGCAGGAAGCCCAGCTCATTTCTCTGGGGAACTGAGCAACACTTGCCCACAGAGATATTTGCCTAAGCCATTAGCATGAGGCAAGTCACACAAACCACTCTCTTGACAGTTTCAACTGTCACACTGTGACAGAGCAGGGATGCTGGGCTGCCTGCTGCCTGGGTGAATCATTGATGCTTCCTCCACAGAGAGAAGCATGGCAGAAGAGTTACCTCCATGTGCTACTTTATGTTGATACTGTTGAACTTGAGACTAAGGTAAAAGTTACTGTTACAGTTAAAGGAGCCTTGGAGCTAGGGAGATGGCTCACAGGGAAAAGGCGCTTGCAGTCAAGCATTACTACCTAAGTTCCATCCATGGAACTTAGGTGGAAAGGGGGAACTAACCCTCTCAATTGTACTCAGACCCTCACTTCCACACAACTCCTACCCTTACTAATAAAATATTTTTGGGTTTGTTTGTTTGTTTGTTTAAAAAATTAGTTTTTAGCTTGGTGGTGGTGGCCCATGCCTTTAATCCCAGCACTTGGGAGACAAAGGCAGGTTTTGCAGTTGTTTATCTCCATAACTCAGCCTGACTGAACTTTTTCTGTTTCCCTGAAGACATCGGACTCTAGATAGCTGCTGGCAAACCTCCTTTGCTAAAGCTGCCTGCCTTCTTTGAATTCTAAGACAAAAAGTTT